GGTTGAAAGCACCACTCTCGGCCCATTGGATTGATATTATGTATATCCTGATTGATGACTACTGAGTATGATAGATCTGTACTGTTATATGATAGTAGCTGTTATGCGTTAGACTAGTATATTTGTAGGATTACCTGTGATTACTGGCTATATGTTTATGTATGTTGAATATGTTGTTATCTGTTATATGTCGACATGTTGTGATGGGTTGAGGCTTGATTGATCTGTGCTTGAGCCAACAGACCAAGGGTATACCCTTCCAATGACTGAGTGGACCCGAGGGTATTCCAGTCCGATGACTGCATGGACCTGTTGCATATTGGCATTCCAGTCTGATGACTAATTGGGTCGTGGGTATTCCAGTCTGATGACTGATTTGACCCAACATGCATGATTTTTTATGTTATATGTTGTGTGGTGGTACTTTGGGGAAATTCACTAAGCTTTGGCTTATAGTTTCAGTTTATTGTTTCAGATACTTCAGATGACCGCGGGAAAGTGAATGCGTGATCATGCATATCTTCCTGTTTTTATGATATTGGGTCTTAGGAAAATTTTGATTATGATTATACTCTGGAAACAATGATTTTGTAAACACTTTATGGATGAAATGGGTTGTTTTTGAAAATTTTAAATTTTTATGATTTTTTGGATGTTTAAAATATCAATTTTATATAAAACTAACTTATTTTTATAAAACTATCAACTTATTATAACAAGGTTTACAAAGTTTTTCATGAACTTTATTTTTATATAAAATGTCAATTTTATATAAAACTATCATCTTTTTATAACAACGTTTGCAAAGTTTTTTGTGAACTCTATTTTTATATAAAATATCAATTTTATATAAAACTAACATATTTTTATAAAAACTATCATCTCTTTATAAAAAGTTGCAAAGTTCTTTGTTGAGCTCTATTTTTATATAAAATATTAATTTTATATAAAATATTAATTTTATATAAAAACTAACCCGTAACTTTTGTGTACTTATATTTTTTTACCATGCTTAGTAATTTACTAACAGGTTAGATGCATTTTTATGTTCTCATAATCTAGTTTACTAGAAAACATTTTTGGGTTTAGCACATTGAATCTAAACAACGACATGCATATAGATTTTAGTCTAAAAGGGTGTCCAAAAACTCTATATCCATTTTGAAGTCTAGATTTAATTTAAATCCAGTTTACCAATTTGTTTATGTAAATGCACTGATAGTATGCGATGCATTTAATCATTTTAACATATAGTTTGCAAGTTAGATGTAATATCTATTAAACGTTAGCAACGCCTAGTTACAAGTATAACATCATACATTTAACACATTATAACAATAACTTTCATAATAGTATAAATGCTAAGCGTGTATGTATCTCCCCTTAAACATTTATAAAGCTTAAAATGGCCATAAAGACTCACTTTCGTTTGCGTGATTCTAGCGAAGTTGTTTTTTTTTTTTGAAGTTTTCTTGTGATGCAAGGAAATGTGATAACAACACTAGACCCGGGGATTGTTTTGCGAGTTATTCAATGAGAGGGCCCTTCGTTGTGGCTTGATCGAAGGGAAAACAACACGTGGCCAACAGATGGTTGTCTCACCAAAAAAGATAGAAGTACTTGGTGGTGGTGGCGGCCTTCGTCGCCGACAGCAGGTGGCAGCAAGGCTGCTTTGGTGGTTCTCGGTTGTCACCTTTCTTCTTCGATCAGCAGGTACGACGAGAGGGTGAGCAGGGCAGCAAGCAATGACTTTTTAGGATGTTTGGGTGGCTTAATTCGACAGCAAACAGGGAGAAAAAAAGACACGAGGTTGCTGCCCTTTTTTTGTTTGTTGAAGCTTGAAAGTTTAACACATTCAAGTAGAGTTTTCATGGGTAAGTTGGAGCATAAATGATGCAGTGAGGGAGAGTGTTTACGTGAGTTTTGTGGCTGCAACAATTGAGCAAATACCGTGGCTATTTATTAACTTTTGGAGTGCATTGGGTTGTTCCCTTATGTGGTGTAAAAGAGAGTACATGGGAGAAATGAGTGTACTACGTAAGGAAAGAGATGCTGGACACTATTCTTCCTAATGGCTGCCATATTTGAGGACAAAGCCCACTTTATTTCTTGTGATGATTAGAATAGTATTGTCATAAATTAAACTATGCATCCATGTATATGAGTGTGACTATAGAGGAAATGAAAATGTGTAGAATGAATAGAGAACTGTGTGCAATCAAATATTCCCATAATTGCTTTTCCTATATTTGTATTGTTTCCTTTAATTGGGGGAGAATATGCCATACGGATCTTTCTAGGGAGAATATGTATGTATGAGTTTCATAACACATGTATAATATTATGTATGTTAGTAAAAATAATTCATTTTAAACAAATAAAGATGATTCATTTAAACAAATGATTAGTGGCGTCACATTGGTGACGTTTAATTTATTCAAAATTAATCCCTTAATTTGGGTGTCATGTTATGATATTCGTCGATTTCTTATAATTAAGCAAGCTTTTTACTAAACGGTTATATTTGGTAAGTGATTATAAAAAAATGAGGTCATATATACACTTTCTTTTTGTCATTTCTAATAAATGAATGTTTTTTTTGCCACTTGTCACACTCTCATTCAATTTGCCAAATGTCATTTTGTGGTTATTTTGAATTATTTTTTTTCCAAATATCATTTTATGAGTTTTTCTATTTTATTAAATTTCATATAATATTTTAATATAATAATTGCAATAAATATAGTAATAAATGAATATTAATTTCACTAATAAATTAACTTTTAATTTCAAAATTCCAAAAATTAAAACTCATTAGTTTCTTTTCTTTATTTAAATAATTTTTTTAAATTTATAAGATCAAAAATTTTTCCATTATAATAAATCAATATTTTTCTTATTTTATTATAAATTCAAAATTCTCAAATATTTTGACCTTTATATTTAATTTTTTTTAATCAACTCATGTAATACATGAGTCTCACAACTAGTATTTTAATAAGTCATCGCACATTAAAAAAAAGTTTAAAAGAGACAATTACCGCCGTTCAAAGAAAAAATTTAAAGGAGACGACCTAACTTTTAAAATTTAAATTAGGAATTAACACGGGTAATGATTTTTATTTAACTTTTAAAATTTAAATTAGGAATTAACATGGATAATAATTTATTTTATATATATATATATATATATATATATAGATATATATATATATATATATATATATATATATATATATATATATATATATATATATTAATTTACAACTACCAGGTGAACAGTTCTTCTCTATCATTGGTTGGAAATTTTTTTTCTTTTCCCTTTTCTTTTTCCTGGTCTACTTTTTATTAATTTTATTTTTGTTTGACTTTTTGGAAATAGTGGATTACACGTGGTGTCAAGTCCACATATGCCGTCTACGTGTTGGGAGTTCCTCGGTTTTTCTGTTGACTCAACTGATTTCACCGACTCTTAGGGCCTGTTTGATACCCATCTGACCGGGTCTGAGTCAGCAAATTGGGCTGACTCGGTTAGACCATAGCTGTTTGATGATCTGCTTTCTCAGTAAGATGTCTGGCTCAAATTTCTTTCTGGGTCAGCCTTGTAACATATGCTGACTGGAATAAAGACGTCTCCTACCTTTGTATTCTTTCTTCCCTGGTTACCATCGTGACCTAAAAAAAAGTGCCCACACAAAAAACGCCGCCTCCTCCATTAACAGCTCCTCGTCATCTCACCGATCGCCGCCTGCATCTCACCGGTCGCCGCCATCTCGCCACCATCTAGCCCGCCAAAGAGAGCTCGCCATCTCCGAGCAGCTTCTCGCTTTCCCTGTCATTCAACTGCTACAATTTATCAAAAACGGGTAAGAATCTTCTCCTTTTTATGTTAATAGTTTTTGAGATCAGAAAATATGTTTGAATAATCTATAAAATCTGAATCGAATTGAGCAATTTTTTTGTTTTTGGTTATGAAATTTTCAATTCACTTTCTGTTTTTGGTTATGAAATTTCATTACGTTTTTTCTTGATCAAATTGAGCAATTTTTTTGCTGTCGTGTAAGGAAAAGGCTCTAGGCAGTCAATGGCTTAATTGATTATTAACAGTTTGATTCATTTTGAATTTGGATATATGGTCAATTCTTGGTACTTAGAAAAGAAAATTTCAAAATAAATGCACATTGTAGCCACTTCATATTAACGATCAGCTTGTTTTTCTGCTACATGGCAGTGGCTGGCCTATATGATTTGAATACATAATATCTTTGAAGTAGCAAATAAGAATGGACAAAGTCAAATTGCTTGACCATTCCCTCCATGGAATGGGCCTTTATTTACAGTAGTAGTTACAGTGAGTTTGTGGTTTTATAATATAAAGAAGCAACTTACATTGAGTTTGTGGTTTTATGGAAGCAACATGAATAGTTTATGGTTTTATGGAATCAACATTAAGGTCTATTGTTTGGATATATATTTTACCTTGTTTTGTGATTTTTGGTAAATTATGAAATTCTTTGGATATATGTTAGCAATGTTGACCTTAATTGTGCTATTATTATTTAGGATGATGTTGATTTCATTGGTACAATGTTGAAATTCTTTGGATATACGTTAGCAATGTTTGACTTTGTTTTTTGTTTTGTGTTTTTTGGTAAATTACAAAATTGTTTTATGTTTAAAATTGTTTTTATTTGGATATTAAATGATTTATGTTTAATTTACATTTTGTATGACATTTTTTATTTGTGTGTAATTTACATTTTGTATGACAATATATATGTCTTTATAATTATTCAGCAACTTAATCCATCACTATATATAACAGCATGGTAAAATGATCATTTTTCATCACTCAGCACATTCAGTCGGATATACAATCAAAGCAGATTCCTTACTCAGTCAGGATTTCTTACCAGACAACATTTCCCTGTCAGCATTTGCATTTCTCAGCATCTATATCGAACGGGGCCTTAGCCCCGGTTTTCCTTCTCTTTTCACTTCATCGCCTCCGTTGAGATGCTTCCCATTGCCTCTCCAAAACCCTCTGCTATTGCTCGAATATGCGTTCCACCGCCTCCTTCTATGATGCAACTCACCACCACCATCAATTTATACGCCACCGCTGACGACCATCGCCACCCTATACGCCATCGGCCACCACGACCACCATCTTCTCCACCTCACGGAACCCCTGTTCCATCTTTTCCATTCATCACAAGTCCGCTCATCACAGATATGTGGCCCCATCCATGTAATTTCCTTCCAGGTTTCATTTCTTCCATATTCTTCTTTTTAATTAACGTGTTCGTATGAATCTAGGGTTACTTAAGCTCTTTTTTACACTGACCTACACGGTACCGATGCCTCATCACCTTCTTTTGCTTCATTCTTCATTAACTCCTTTTTTATTATGTCGGTATTGAGGCAGCGCCGACTATGGTGTTCATGTTGATCGACGGTGGTGGTGGGTCAGAGTGGCCATGTCGATGCCGGAATTGGAAACAGACTCCTGAGGAGAAGAAGACAAAGATTTTACTCACCATAGTGATTCGTTTTCTGCTTTCGATCCTCTACCTGCTCCCTTACCACCGATTTGGGTTTATTATGAGGTTGAAGACAAAGAATTTACTCACCATCGTTGCACCCCTTCCCCCATCTTCTCTGCTCAACGCCGTTGCACCCCTGCTCTATCCAAATCATTATCACTGAAAACCTTTTTTTCTCTTTTGCTGTTGTGAACTGCTATGTACCTGCGACGCCCCTTCCCTAAAGGAAACACAAGCCCAGGTAAAAAAAATAAAAATCATCTATTCTTCTTCCTTAATGTTTGTGTACAATTAGGGTTTAAATCCGTTCTTCTTTAATGTTTTCAATACAGGAAAAATGAAATCAGTCAAGGTGGTTATTCACAATACTAACTTCATCAACTCAAAAAGGCAGGATTCCTCAGAGGATTACGACTCAGCTTCTGACACTGAAACAGAGAGTGATGCAATTGAAAAAAAAAAAAAAAAAAAAAAAAAAAAAAGCTTAAGATCCCCAAAGAGAAAAGGTAAAAAAGAATCTGAATCTGATAATGGCCATTATGTTTTAGTTGGGAAGGTATTTATCATTAAAAGTTCTAGGATATATTAGCATATTTTCTATTATTTATGTCTAAATTAATATAGTCAGAATACCAACATAGGCAAATTCTTGAATCAGTTCATGATTACGCATGCAACAGTTATGATGGAATCATCTATCTGACTCTGTTGGAAATAAAGAAAAGGAATCAGAATCTGAAGGTATTGATTATAAATCAAATTGTCAAATTTATCATTATGTTGTCGGATGTGGTGGAGGAGGAGTATGTGGTCAAGTGGTATAAGAAAAGGGGTTGAAAGGTGGAAACAAGGATTCTGTTATTTGGAGGAATGCGAAGCCGTTTGTGGAATGGCTTCAGAGTGCGGAATCAGAATCAGAGTAGGAATGGAATGGAATAAATTCGAGTGTTTTGGTTTTGGTCTAAAATAATTGAATTTGAAGTAGTTTTTTTGAGGGTAATGAGTTTGACTTTTGAATTTTTGATTGTATTTGTATGGGCCTCTACATTGTTTGCATGTCTTGAAATCATTGCATTTTTTGGGCCTCTACGTTTTAAAAATTGTTCAGTACATTCCGAGCTTCTAATTCAAGTATAAGCTTAGAAGCACTATTGGATCTTAAGTTTTGCTCCCAATTGACTATTTAACAGTGTGAATGTTCTTTCTGTGTGAATATCTTTTTTTTTTTTTTTTGAAAGAGGTGTGAATGTCTTTTTTACGAATTATGAATATGAATCTATAATTGTTTTCTTCATTTTTTACTATATTTCATTTAAGGCTTTTGAAACCTACTCAAGCAATCAGTTGGAGCAACGAGCAATGACACATAAATGGGTATTTTTTTCTTTATGTATTCATGGGTATTTCACGGTTGTAAGTTGCCGTCCAACCCACAAAGCGGGGTTCTTCCCTAGTTATTATTAAATAAGAATATATTTGGAAAAAAAAAAAACTTTTTAAGCTCGTTGATACAATAGTTTGAAATTTTTTAATGATATCTTATAAACTAACTTAAAAGCTACTTTTTAGTCTGCTAAACACTACAACCTAAAAAAATCTCAAAAAAAATATACCGTGCCAATCATAACTTTAGTACATAAAAAAATATTTTGCTAATAAAATCCTTATTAACAAGTTTTATTTAATGTTTGACCCTTTACTGATAGAAGGGAGTGGGAAGTGGTTGAGCTAAGCATAAGCATATATAAGGTGGAGGCTGATGTTGAGTTCGGCAAGGAGGGAATATCGCCCCTTCACCTGGACATGCCAATGTTTTCTATGGAGCTCAGTAAATTCCAAAATATGTGGTGAATGTTTGAATGAGTTTAGAATTTATTTTTTCCTGTTCTTGTCTTCTTGATCGACGACACAAGAGGCAGTAAAACTATAAAAATCGATAAGCAAAGAAAACAGTATGTAGCAGCGATCGGTGAAGCAATTACCCTTGTAAACTTCTAATCGACTAATTGTAGGGTAATAACTAATAGCAACCGATATAAGACTAAGACCATTACTCTATCAATGCGTATTAAAAGCCCATGCTGTCATGCAAAAGAAAAAAAAAAGGAAACGTGAGCGAAACTTGCGAGAAACGTTTCTGGGATTGCCGATACTTGCCGGAAACGTTTCCCGGGCGTTTCACTGGCGTTTCCGTTTCCTGGGTGTTTCAGATACGGGAGCGGCTCCTAGTAGGGCGTTTCCATGCATCGTAGCTAAAAACTATGTCTCGTAACAACACAATCTATAATAACTATATAATATAAACATAACATAATTCAAAATGATTTAGAAGTAGAGGAATACACAATTTGTAAAATAAAACAAATCCAACAAAAAATCCAACCTATAGATAATTAGCTTTTTCTATAGTTAAAAAAAATTACATTTCTTTCTTACTTCTGGTCAAGACTCTTTCAATAATTTCTTTGATACACTTTGATTCAAATTAATTGGCCATAAATCTTTACATTCTTCGTCTTCGTAACCACTTGACATTTTAATTTCCTTGATACACTTTGATTCATGCCCTACACATTTAACAACACGGTTATATACAAATCAAAGCAATGGTAAACATCAAAAGCAAATCAAAAAATTCCAAAAACTTAAAAGTAAAACTATAGGATATATAGATCAAAATAAACAAATTACCTTTGGATTATGTATTTTATTTTGTATTCTTCATAACGCATTTCAAGAGAACCTATCCAGTTTGACAAATTCTTAAAAATTCTTGAAATATACGGATATCTGTAATTCTGAAACTCAAGAACACATCGAGATATATATATTTACAGCAAGGATGTGCATGTCTACATCTAAAACAAAAAGGTCAAATCTGCACCCATTTACCACATACGGAATAAAACCAGAACTCTTATTAGCAAGAGAAGTCATCGAACTCAGATCTGAGATTTGTTGCTTTTTACAGGAAATCAAATTCAATGAAATCCAGATGCTTTCCAACAAATCGAATCAAATAAGAGTTAATTTGAACTTAAAAGCAAACAAATTCAGAAAACCAGGTCTAATTTCCTGTAAAAGATTACGAAAATTTGACTTTGTAACTGTCTAATGAGTTGGTGAATGCAAAACAGATCTGGGTATTAAGAAATATGATAGACTAAGGAAAGAAAATAAAATCATAACGAAATGAGTGGAGGGCTGCCACAAGTTGGATGGCTCAGATTCGTTGCATTCATCTATCTTTTAAAGGAAAACGGTGTACTGCGTGGTACTAAAATAACTATATAGGAGTCTCCGTCAATCAACCCTAAAGACATAAAACATAGAGAAAATTGCAAAAGTAGTACATATAGTTTGTCATTTTTGTTGGTAAGGTCCAAACATTTATATAATTGTAGATATGATATTTTTTAAGTAATTTTATTGTGTCTTTAGTCCTTATAAATTAAAAAAAAGAAAAAAGAAAAAAGAAAAAAACTATTTTACCCATAAGATTTAATTTATATTTATTAAAGGTTTATTAAGTTTAAAATTATAACATCTAAAGCCTAACTTACTATTTTACCCATAAGATTTAATTTATATTTATTAAAAGTTTATTAATTTTAAAATTATACCATCTAAATCCTGATATGAACTTATGGGGTTAGGGCTTCCTTCAACCGAACTTCAGTCCCTCCGGAAGCGTTCCTGCAAAAACGCAAAAACCTTGCCTCATTTTTCTTCTCTAAGAATTCTTGGTGTGTTTGGTAGCATTATTGGAAGAAGAGTATCATCCCTCGAGCTTGTGAAATGATTCTTGAAGAGGTCCAACATCTTGTGCATCTTTTGGACCTTTGTAAGTGTTTAAATCTCTATCTTGATGGTTTAACTTCTTAGATCTAGCACAATTTATGCTTTTTGGTCTCTTTTATGGTTTTGGTGAAAGTAGAGAGAAGGACTTCAGATAAAGCTTGCAACTTTATCAATATTATGTTATCCAAGAGTGTTTTATCTTTTGGATCTAAAGCCAAAGAGTGTTTGGAGACATGCAATGAAACAAGATCTTATTTTTGCCCTTTTTGACATAAAATGGAGTAGGGCTTGAATAGGGTGTTTAACTTTATAAAGTTAGGATTTTTCTGGCTCATCTTGCCATGATTAAGCCTTCTGGAAAGTTTAATTGTTGGTCTTAAAGAATTAAGGACTTAAGGCGAACCACAATGTGGCCAGGAGTTGGCCACGACGTGGTGAGCAATGTATCGCGACTAGTTTATCTTTACCATGACGTGACAAGAAATTGGTCACGGCGTGTCAGGCTTGAGGATCGCGATTGGCCTATTTTAGACCACGACGTGGTGGTCTGCTGAGTTGACTATTGACTATTGAATTTTGGATTAGGTTTGACCCTGGGTCAAATGTGAGGATTTTAGGTTATATGCTGAGAATTGACCTTGGAATACGTGTATAGATTGACATTGTCCCTGTCTTTATATGTCGTGAGTTATACAGGTTTATGCTTTGTCTGTGAGGTGAGTTTTCTTAATGTGTTCTTTTAGAGTGTGTTGTATGTGGGCTGCCGATAGCTAGGGGTTGTTGATAAACCAACTTGTTATATATGAGTTGCTGATACCTCGGGATTGCTGATAACTCAATTTGTTGTAATTGAGTTGTTGATAGCCCGTAGGGTTGCTGATAACCCATAGGGCTGCTGATAACATGTAGCTGTCTTATTTATTAGTTGTATGTGATACTTTGGGGAACTCACTAAGCTTTGGCTTACAGTTACAGATTTAAATGTTCCAGGTACATCTGAGGATCAGGGCAAGACGATGGCATGACAACACACATTATCTATTAGATTCCATAACTTGATATATGATATGATTTGATACTCTGATTTTGATTCCACTTTATGAAACTACTATTTTTATGATGTTTGACTTTTATGAAATGGCTTTGAATTCTGTTTAAGATTTGAAATTTTTTACCTTGGTTTTGGGACATTACAAAAATAAAAAAAGTTCTTGCCCCACCTTGTCTCTTTAATCAAAAGCACATGCACTTACTCCGTCTTCCCTCTTTCGCAGCAAACCCCACTTTTCATAATCACTTCATCGCTGATAGCCACCAAAAAAAAGATAAAGAAGTTCAAATGAGGTTCCGCCAAAACTAATTTCACACAAATAATAAAAAAATGTGAAAAGAAACAAAACAAACACTACAAGTTCTAATTTGAGACGATGGTTATTTGGGTAAAAAGGTTTTGGGAGAAAGGGTAAAGATCATGATATATCGTTACCGTCGTTGATTTCGATTAATATTTCCTATCCATCGTCTATAAGCGCTGCCTCCTCCCATTTGTCATTCGAGGGAAAAAATATTATTATAGAAAACTTTTAAGGTAATGCATGATGTTATCGTATTTGCTGAAGATTTTAGAGAACTAAGTTGGTCCAGTAGAATATGATACTACTGACCCTTGTTGAGTGTGCTAGTAAGATACTATTTGTTGTGTGTGTACCTTTTTCATCATCCATAACTTTAGTAGTCTTGTTTTTCACCATTTGTGGAAAGCTTTGGGATGAGATCACCTTCAGAAAAGCTACGGCTTGGAGGCCAAGATGTTGAGCTACATAATCATTAGTTATACTACTAAGATATTCTTCACTTTGGTTGGGAGATCTTCTTGTTAAGAGAAGGCTGAGGATAGGAAGAGCTTCCATGGTTAAGCGATGGAGAAGATGGAGAGTGAAAGATCGTGTATGCCTAAGAGTCATTCTAGAATGATATTGCTAATAACGTATGATCTTATAGGGTAACATCTTATAGAAAGTTACCACTAATTGATTATTTATTAGTATAGTTTGATTATTAATAAATATATCAACACTTGCATTTCATTGGAAGAACATTATTTTATGAAAATAATATGTTTCTAGCATATTGGAAATTATTGTTTCTAGTAAATAATAATAATAATAATAATAATAGAGACCAAAACTAGAAATAATTCATATATTATGAATTTATAAGTTATGTACAACTTTTAGGTCACTTTGAGCAACTATCAAATTAACATATATAACTAGCTAGTTGAATAAAGTAAAGAACATTTATTTTTTGTATCATTTGACTTATATGGAATGATGGTGTTAATAATACATTTTGATTTTTTTATTACCTCATTCCATGCTTGTAAGAAAGCTCCATGCTTATATTATTTTATGTCCTCCTTTTGTACTAAGTGTTGGGATAAAAAGTAAGGCGAAGACATGAAAGAACTAGCTTTTTCATTCACTTTTTTCTCTCATTTTGGACAGCCAATTTCGTGGTTCTCCCTCCATGCCTCCATCTCCATTGTTCTTGCAAAAGGTGTTAGAATAAAGGGTTCATATGTTTCTTCTCTTTAAGTATATTTTGGAATATGTCTTAAAGCTTAAGAACAACATTTATATAAATGTTTACTAGCATATTTTGGTGGTTCAAATATTGCTTGGTAGATACATTATAGAAAACTTATACTTGGATTTTTAAAGCCATCTTCATCAAATTCCTAATTGCTAAAAGGATCCAAAGTCTTCAAAGGTTTTATACCTTCTTCTTCTTTGGTTATGTTTAATCTTTATAAGATAATGATCCTTAGTGGGTATAAAACTAGTTTCATTTTGTTCCAAATCAAGGTCTTTCATTGCTAATTACGTCTAATTATGTCTTTATAATTGGACTATTTTGAATAAAAATCTAACAAATAGGGTCGATAATAATGAGTAAAACTAGAATAGGAATGTGAAGGAGGAACATGACAATATATCACTAAGGGGGTGAACGAAATTAAGATTGAAAAATGATTAATGACTTAGAGCATCTCCAATGTTTTTTTTAACAACCATTTATTAAGAAGAACACTAGTAAGGAGCTAGGAACAAAAACCAATTACAAAAAGTTTAGAGGTTGTTGCATCTAAGAAACCCAGTCAAAAGAGATTTTTCTATTACAATTACAAAACCACAAAACATAAACTCTCTTATTAAACCAAATATCTCATCTCTTCTCCTATTTGTCATAGCAAATAATATATCATTCCGAAACATCTATAGAAACCACACCATTATGCAAGCAATCACATTTATCCCTTCTTTTTTTCTCTCACTACAACGCATGTTATCAATCGCATAGAACAAGTAACAAACCGTGTCAAACAAAGGGAATTGAATATCCAAACATTTGAAAATCGAATTCGAAGTTATTGTTGCCACCTCACACGTTACAAACAAATGATTCAACTTTTATATACAGAAAGTACAAATCGGGCATAAAATAGAAGGAATGTCAATCCCTAGGTATTCAAGATTAAGCATGGTTGTAACATCCTATTTCGAGAAGTCTCTTATTTCGGGATTGTGGACAATAAATGGATCAAGTAAAGGTTGTGGGCTTCAACGGAATAAGGTTTAGACCCTATTGGATGTTGATAATATTGATTATGCGATCCAAGCCCTTGGTTTGTGTTTTGGAGTCAAAGGGCAAAATGGGAAAAATGATGTTTCAGATTTCTTTCTTGGATTAAGGATTTTAGTTTGGTATGTTTTAAGTTAAAAGTAATTATATAGGATTTTGGGGCTCTTCAATACCTTTCTGTGCATATAAAGAACGTCGAAAACAAAGTTAAAACGAAGAAGTTATGGTTGTTTGAAGTTAGGCAAAGAGAGTCTGGTAGTACGCAGGGGTAAACACAATACCTTAACCTTCTCTGTGTCAAATAGCATATCAAAAAGAGACTAATAGAGTGAACCAAAAGAGAATCACACAGTTATTTTTGATCAGATGATAAATATACATACTTGTTTTAATGGGCAAAGCTTATTCTCATACTCTTGACCCCAACAATCAGCCATATGTGGGAAGATCCCGCTTTCGCACACCACCACACACTACCTAAACAAAAAATTGCAAATGATTTACCTAAAATTAGAGTTCAAAAAATCAACAACTGACAAAGAAAAGGTTAACATGTATGCTCAGTTGAAATTATAGTTCATTTTTCTTTTTTCCCTTATTTCTTCTTGGTTATACTGAAACTAATCTGAAAGTAAGGATAAGAAAACAAAAAAATTGTTAGGATGCAAAGTTCTCCTTGGATGTGGCTTACTCTCTTGTGATGTGTAATGCGTTGAGTCATTCCTATAAATAGGAAGTGAGTAACTCCCATTTATGTATGGAACCCATTTTGAGAGATTAATCTAGTGAGAGAATTTACATTACCCACTTATAATCTTGCTATTCTCATGGAGCTTAAACATATTTATTTACTCTTTATTTTCCTCGTGGTTGTTTTATTCACTTTGATCTTTACTATTCCGCATAAGTCATCATAATCAGGTCACTACAATTGGTATCAGAGCGTTTCGATGCCTTAGGAACTTGATTATCATCAACATGAATTTCTGTATCAATGGCCCTATTAGGAATTCCAAAAATCAAATCAAGATCAATATCAAAAGAATCCATGATTTCTGATTCAACATTTGTCTCAGCCATTATAGGTTTTTGAACAAAAGACTGTTCAACTCTTTTGACATAATAGTCATCGAATGTGAGATTGAAAGTTTCTTTGATCTTCCTCGTTCGTTTGTTTAACACCCTATAGGTGATAGTCACTTATGAGAATAACCCAAGAAGATTCCTTCATCAACTTTTGACTGAAATTTGGAAAGATTGTCCTTGAGATTCATGATGAAACATCTGCACCCAAAAACATGAAAAAATTTAACATTAGGTTTTTGTTTGTTTATTATTTCATAAGGTGTGATTTGAAAACGATGATGAATGAAAGAACGATTTTGCGTGAAGCAATTAGTCGAAACAGCCTCTGCCCAAAGATATTGAGGCAAGTTCGCATAAGTAAGCATCGTTCTTGCAGCTTCACATAAGGAATGATTCCTTATTTCGACAACACCATTTTGTTGCGGTGTGTAACGAGACGAAAAATTATGAGATATGCCCAACTTGATCAAGAATGAATCTAGAATTTGATTCTTAAATTCGGTTCCATTATCACACTTTATCCTTTGAACTTTCATGTTTAAAATCAATTCGATGTTCTTGATACAGTCAATCATCAATTGAGTAGTTTCAGACTTCTGACGAAGAAAGAAAACCTAAGTAAACTTGGAAAAATCATCAATAATAACTAATATGTACTTCTTCTTATTGAGAGTCTCAACAGTCGAAGGTCCACATAAGTCAATGTGAAGAAGTTCCAAAGGTTTGATGATTTTTGAATCAATGATGATCGGATGACCTTGTCGATGCGAATGTTGATAAGAAGCAATAAAGGAGTAGTTGTTATTCGAATCGACAAAGGAATTGGGATTAGTCAAAAGTTTGACTGTAGAATCGAAAGTTTAAGAATCGGAAATCAAAGCCTCATAATCAAAAGCTGGAATTGGAACTGGGAATCGAATGTGATAGTTGTGAATTTCGATTTTGAGATAAGGAGTCAAACATATCGTATTTGGGGTCGAATTCGATTTTAACTGGTGTTGAATCAAATTGAGTTGAGAGGTAAATTTCAATTTCGACTGGTATTGGTGTTGATTAGAGTCGAACGTAGGTTTGTTGGTCGAACACATATGGAGTCAAAATTGATATGTGATTATTAGAGACATTCGAGTCGAGGGATAAATTTCAAGTCTTAGTCGAATGTATTTGTTTGGAGTTGAAATCAATTTTGACTATGTGTTTCTTGGGTTAAGAATCGCTTTCGACTAGTGATGGTGTTGTTCGTGTCAGGATCAAAATGGGGAAGAAGGCACACTTTTCGAAGCTCGTCCTCAAACTTTCAACAATTTGAAAGAAAATACTCAATTTCGATGTGGCGGGTAATTTTCTGTGAAAAGTGAAGGTGTTGTATTTTGAGTCCCTGAAGTTTAAGAGTTTCAACAGTTTATAACCAGTTTCGAATTGGGGGTATAATTCTGTGAAGTGGGAAGATTTTTCAGATTCAGTCCCTGCAGTTGATGCGAAATGACACTTTGTACCTAGTTTCACATTTGGGGTAAAGTTTCGCATTTGAAGCTGATTTGTCGCAACGGGTCCCTGCTGAATTTGCAAAAATGACATGTTTTACCTAGTTTTCGAATTTCTTGCAACTCTCACCCAAAATTCGAAATCTTTCCAACTTTTGAAGATTTTTTCCTCGACTTTTCATGATTGTTTTCCATGCAAGATTTTCGTGGTTGCATTTTTGTCACACATCGAGAGGGAGTTTTCTCACATTTATTCCTCAAGAACTTCTCATACCCTTGTAGGTTTGATAATCATTTTTTGATTATAAAAAGGGGGAGAATGATGAAAGGGGTATTCGAAGATTATTGGATATTCATTTTTCAAAGTGGATTTGAAGACCGGTGTTACTTCGAGGGGGAGTTGGTCTTGATCGCGAGCTTGTTTGGAAATTGAAGTCGGGACATCCAATCCTAACTTTGAGGGGGAGAATGTTAGGGTGCAAAGTTCTCATTGGATGTGACTTACCCTCTTGTGATGTGTAATGGGTTGAGTCTTTCCTATAAATAGGAAGTAAGTGACTCCCATTTATGTATGGAACCCATTTTGAGAGATTAGTATAGTGAGAGAATTTACATTACCCACTTGTGATCTTGCTATTCTAATGGAGCTTAAATAGATTTATTTACTCTTTATGCTCCTCGTGGTTGTTTGATTC